TCAACTGGCGCCTCGCGTTCAGACGCACAAACGATGATGAAGACGAATGTTTATAAATAACCGGAAAGCATTCACTTAATTGATTAAAGGAAGTGACGACGTCTGCATTGCTCCTGTCATTTCAGCTCGCAAAACAAAATATCCGTAATAATTACCGTTAAAACACTGGATTCCATCCAATTGGGATAATTACCGGTGACAATGAGGAGAAAAAAAATTATGAAAAAAAATTAACCGTATAAATTTTCCAACTAGACTGCTATAAATTTCACGTGTTAACTAAATTTTCAATGGAACATGAACATTCAGAAACAAAATGACAGAAATTTTCAGTTTTTCCCTGAATTTTCCTCCTTTTTCCGAATTTTCACGAAAATAATTGAACAGAAAAATCAAGTACTTTACTGACTTTTAGATCATTCGAACAGAAAATCAATGAAATATCTGATTTTTCAATGCCGAGATTTTCTGAAATTTCCGTAGAAATTAAACCTGACAAAAATTTCCGGGATTTGCCACGGAAAATTCAGACAAAATTTTTTACCAGTGTAAGAGAAGTGGAAAAATGAATTCTCGTGTTTTAGCACAGGTGTTATTTGCTCATTGCCAGCTGGCGGAGGGGTAGGTGGGTTGAGGTGGAAAGAGAAGCCCCTGTTGTGTTCCTCGAGACTTGCAAAATTAACCAAAGAATATAATGTATCACGTGTACGCGATCCAGCTGTCGTTATTTCGGCCTCGAACCCAGCCCGAAGGATTAAACTGTCAAGGCCAAAAAATTTCGATTCACAACTATCATGTAGTGAGTATAAACCAATGCCCACTTTACAATTGACAAACAAAACCATCCATTATTCTCATTTAAAATGATTTACGGCTGTCTCAGTGATACACCCAAGCGAAATTTATCAAAATAAAACAAAGAGAGGGAATCTGAAGAATCGAAGGAAGAAGGAAGGGTATGAACGGCGAAAAAAAAGAAGGAAATATTGCGAAAAGTGATGGTGTAACTGGTCAGCATCGTAAATTCCCCCACCCAGTTGTGGAGTTAATGCAAGTCTCGTGTCACAAGATAAAATCGGGTATTCCTTACAAATGGAGTTTCACGCCCCGAATATAAAGAGCAAGGAGAAAACAGGATATTCCTCTCATTTCATTTCTTTTCTCTTTCTCCTTTTTGGCAAAAACTGTTACGTTAGTTATACATCACCGGTTGCCCCGTAGTAGTATGTAACACCAGAGGCATTGACCGATTGAATAAATATTGTGACGTGAAGCCAAAAATCCACAGAACCAATGAAATAAATATGAATGCAATGCCCATTGACTCACCACGGATGAATTTACGCTGGTGAATACTCGTTTTATTCCACTGATGAGAGGAATCTATCAAAATAAACAATGACACACGAATCAACCAAATATTGGTTTTCTCCCGCTTGAGGGGGTCACTTGTTAACGTTTTGAGCGTCGTCGTGAGACTGCCGAGGAGCTCGGCTTTGAGCCCTACACCAAGCCAGTGGAATACACCGCCTGGCCATCCCCTTTCCACTGCCTGACTCGCTCACTACTTCGCCTCCTTCACCCGCTCTACGCTTCGGCACAAAGCTACTACACAAAAATTATCTCTCTCCCCCCACCCCCTCTCCCTTAATCGCACTTAAACGGGTGAAATGAGAATTACTAGGCTAATGCTGCCACTGAAATAACTCGATATTTCCGGTTACGATCCTCCAACTCTTTTTCAATAGTTTTTTGATCACGTGGGCGGCTAGAACGACCGGTCAACGATCAAGAAGATTCACCTCAACTAAATATATATCTTGAACTAATGCTTTTTTCCTCGTCCAACGGCCAATGAACCGGAACCAACCTCAAGGATCTACCTCACGGACGTTCGGAAGTGACTCCATTTTTCCTTCTTCTTTTTTTTCAATCTCTCTTTCTCTCAATACCCTTTACTCTTATTTTTCGTTATCCGTCTCGTCACCCCGATGCTCATGGGGCCAGGGGAAAGGGCAACCCTCGAAGGAGAGATTACTCGGTCGATTTAATCGAGGCGTATTACCTGTCCGCTCAAGCGTGCATCGTCTCTGGCATCCGGACAACGTGACCATCACAATGGAATCCTTCGCAGGATCGGCAGGAACAACCAAGGACAAACTCTTTTGTTTCCACGCTGTTCGATCCCTTTTTTTTTCATTTTTTGCCACGCCTTACGTGTACCTGTGATCTTTTGGCTTATTTATTTCTTCCTGTCCACTCAACGGGGGAGTTGAATTTCATTCACACATTTTCGTGCAACCTCACGTCCGAAAGTCGATCCCTTAATGGAGTGAAAATAAAAGTGTGGACTTTTCGTTTGCTCTGCAAGTGTTTGCACCGGCATCGAATGCGAGTGAAAAAAAAAGGCGAATGGAGATAAAAATGGAAAAGAGGGGATGGAAAAAACGGGGGAATGAAAAATGTTGAGCAAAGCGAATTCCATTCCCTGGAACGGATGTGTCGTTCGTCGGGGCCGATCCCTTTGAAGCGCAGCGACACAGACTTGTGGACGTTCAGTTTGAGAATGAAAGAAAGACAGAAGAAGGATCGGATAATTCTACCGGCCCCCAAGTCAAGAGAAATCCCCCCTCCCAACCCCACATCGCGCATCCTTCCTCTTGCAATCTTGTGTTCCATGTGTATATAAGTTTTAGCTTTAACACTGATGGGGAACGAGTCAACGGAGACCAGCACCGATGAGCAAAACGGCGGGGCAGGGGGAGGAGGAGGCAAAAGAAGCTGGATAATACCACGAAATGGTATTCGCCGGGTGTCCCCAGCAAGGAGGCATTCCAAGATATTTGCTCTTGAAAATGGTTCTTACGGATGTTGAAGTGGCGAGAGTGAGAGAAAAAGAGTAAAAATGACAGAGCCATCATTGGTGAAGAAAATAAATTAAACTTGAGAGTTTTATTTCTGTATTGACTGCCACCCAAAATGAAATTGGACTGTCGAGTCTTTGAAAATCACATTATTCTCAAACTTATCGTTTTCTTCCGTTTAACGATCACCCCTTTTGTCAGTAATAACCGCCGACTTCGAGGTACACTGTTTTACGATCACGCCGAAGACCTCTGAGTCCCTTTTGGTCATGGTCGCTTTAGTTTTAGATTTTTCATTTTTTATTTTTTTACATCCACCACTATGTATAATCGCGAGCCGGCTGCCCTCCCTGTCCAAAAAATAAGGTGGTTAATGTTTAGCAATAAATAATACTTCCTTTTAAACGGCATTCCTGATAAAACCAAGGCATTTACAACTGAAATGAACGTGTTTTATGATTTTACACCTTCGCATACAATGAAGAGGCGCAACTCCAAAAAAATTACTGACACCAAAATGTCCCTGTGTTATATAGCAAAGCGAAACAATTCCTTTCGACATATCCCCCCCCCTCCCTCAGGTGACTCATATCTCAACCCAACCCAGCAAAACCCCCGCCAAAATCTCTCTCTCTTTCTCTCCCCACAATACCCTTTTTCGTTCACCTCCAAAAAAGGACCTTAACTCATACCCCTCCATAAAAAAATCCTCAACTCTCGAGCATTACGAGCCAAACTGCTCAAATGAAAAAGGAAATGTTGAAAAAATAAAAAGAAAAGTAAAATGTCTTTAAATCGAAACTCGAAGGTATAAACTCCTGAGGTTATTGTTGTTAGTGACTTTTCAAAGAGAGGGGCACCTCGGGAGTATCTCGATAACGAGGTGCCTTCAGGCAGTCACACACAAGTTGATGCGGGGCGTGCGCGCCGCCGCGCAGTCAGCCAATCTTTGGGTCAGTATACTAGTTGCGCCGAGTCTCGTCGCGAGTCCAAGGAGAGGGTCCCCCAAAGCCCCCCAACACACACGTAGACATCATCCAAAGGGGGCTGAGGGGCGGAGGGAGGAGGGAGAGCATGTATCAATACACAAACCCAGTGAGTTTTCTGGTATCGAATGGAATGGAATGTCGCCTCTGTCGATTCGCTTACATACATACATTTAACAGTGCGAAGCAATTCACGTAAAAATTCCACAGTGGAATGTCGCAAGCGAAATGGGGATAGAAGTGAGGGAATTGGCGGAGGTTCGATTGCAAGTTCGACCAGTTACGGAGTGAAAGATCTCGAAAAGGAAGGCGATTAAACCACCGGGAGTGAGAGAAACCCGAAGGGGGAAGGAATAAAGAAAAAACCATGGAAGGCGGTGGAGAGAGAATGAGAGGGAGAGGGAGAAAGAGGGGGTGCAGGGGGTGGAGAGTGAGAGAGGGCGAGAGAGAGGGGCGGAGGGAAGGAAGAGGACCTTGAGAGCGGTCAAGCCACTGGCTTGTCCAGGCAACCCAAGTACTGGAGGGTTTTCTTGCCCACAATCTCGCCATATTGTTGTGACTACGTACACACATGCATAATGACTCTTAAAGCTCTCGTATATTGCCCACCCACATGCTTCCTAACGGGGTATGTATAAAGACCAATTTTCACCTCAGTCGTTCGAATAAGTTACCCAGCCGGTTTTTCTCACACTCCTTTTTTTTCATGAAAAAAAAAGGAATAAGGAAAGGGAAGGCGCCTTTAAATTTCCAGTTTTCAGGCGTTGAGGAATTTGGAGAAAATTGGTATGAGAACTGAGAGTAGATTTCCGGATTATTTATTGAATGGTTTTTTTTTCTAGGTTTACGGTCTTTTTATCCGCCTACCCAAAAGAGCCCCGGGGTTGTTGACCTATTGAGTCAATCGTCATTCGAGTGTAGCAATTTAATGAGAAATGAGGTACAGTAGGTGAACAATAAATGAGGGGGAGGAGAGGTGTTGGAGCGTGGAGTAATTGATATTTAGTTTTTTTCCTTTCTGTCGGGAGAGAATGCGCCGAGTGTGAAGGTCACGTTATCAATGCACGTGTCTTGGTCCTTGTCATCGGATTTATCGCCGTCATAAATTTTCAGGTGGATTGAGAATTTATGGGATTTGGTGTTAACTTACCCCTGGTTATCTCGTTATTGTGGCTAATCGATGGTTCACTTGGCTCAGCAATGATCGAGGTGGCCTCAGGCTCTTTGTTTCTGCAGAGGAGAAATAGAATGAAAAAAAAAGAGAGTGAATGTTTATGCATAGGTGCTACCAACGCAAAATCCACCCACGCCACTGTAAATTGTGGATTTTATCATTATAAAGTAAAGAGAGGTATGTTGAGAGATGTGAGAGATTCAGAGGTATGTGGTAAAGAAAGTCTATCAATTTAGCATTCAAATATGCTAATAAATGACTCCAATTAAGTGTAACATTCATTTAGAGTTGAAAACAGTGAATATATATCGTGAAGGATATTTATAGACTGAACGAGTAATTACTTTGAAAATGAAATGGCCTCTTAACTACGATAATTATAGGTATCAAAGAAAGGGGTTATGCAACTATTATAAATGGGCACCCAATTTCAAATCTGCCATTGAATCGAACACGTCAACTATTCATTTTGCTGTCATTAATTTGTTCCGGTGGACTTGCACAAACAAAGGGGGCCTTTTGTTTTCACTCATGGAAATTAATACCCTAGATTTCTCTCGCGAATTTTTTGGCCAATTTTTTGCTATTTTGCACATTCACGTATTCAAGAATGAAAGAAAATGTTGAATATTGCATGTTTTATATGGTTGACTGCCAATACCAAAGAATGCGAATTAGCAAAAAAGTTTCAGTTAAATAGGTGCCTAATTTTAAAAGTGTCATTGAATTGAATACGTTAACTATTCGTTGGACTGTCATTAATTTGTTTCTGTGGACCGATGGAAATCAACACTGTAAATTTATCCCACAAATTTTTCGGTCAATTTTTTCGTCATTTTGCGCATTCACGAATTCAAGAATGAAAGAAAATGTTGAATGCTGCGTGTTTTATATCGTTGACAATCAATCCCAAAGAATCCTAATAATGAAAATGATTACAGTTGAGGTGTAGAAAATTTTAAACCTGTCATTGAATCGAATACGTCAACTTTTCGTTGAGCTGTCATTAATTCGCTCCGGTGGACTTGCACAAACGGAGAGAATCTTTTGTATTCATTGATAAAAATTAATACCCCAGAGTAACCCCACAAAAATTCGTTCGATTTGTTACGTCTCATTTTGCACATTCGCGTATTCAAAAACATCATGAAAAATTGAAAAATCTGTTTCATACGGTTGGCTGTCAATCCCGGAGAATCCAAATCATCAAAATAATCGTTTTGACAGACAATATTGCTCGTCACTCGACCGAATAAAACTTTTCTACGCCAGAAATGATTTTGTCGTTCTACCAACGAAATATACTGTAGTCGAATGGGTTCGTAATTTCAAAACTGCCATGGACTCCAATACGTCAACTATTCGCTGTGCTTTCATTAATTCATTCCGGTGGACTTGCACAAACGGAGAGAATCTTTTGTATTCATTGATAAAAATTAATACCCCAGAGTAACCCCACAAAAATTCGTTCGATTTGTTACGTCTCATTTTGCACATTCGCGTATTCAAAAACATCATGAAAAATTGAAAAATCTGTTTCATACGGTTGGCTGTCAATCCCGGAGAATCCAAATCATCAAAATAATCGTTTTGACAGACAATATTGCTCGTCACTCGACCGAATAAAACTTTTCTACGCCAGAAATGATTTTGTCGTTCTACCGACGAAATATACTGTAGTCGAATGGGTTCGTAATTTCAAAACTGCCATGGACTCCAATACGTCAACTATTCGCTGTGCTTTCATTAATTCATTCCGGTGGACTTGCACAAACGGAGAGAATCTTTTGTATTCATTGATAAAAATTAATACCCCAGAGTAACCCCACAAAAATTCGTTCGATTTGTTACGTCTCATTTTGCACATTCGCGTATTCAAAAACATCATGAAAAATTGAAAAATCTGTTTCATACGGTTGGCTGTCAATCCCGGAGAATCCAAATCATCAAAATAATCGTTTTGACAGACAATATTGCTCGTCACTCGACCGAATAAAACTTTTCTACGCCAGAAATGATTTTGTCGTCCTAACGACGAAATATACTATAGTCGAATGGGTTCGTAATTTCAAAACTGCCATTGACTCCAATACGTCAACTATTCGCTGTGCTTTCATTAATTCATTCCGGTGGACTTGCACAAACGGAGAGAATCTTTTGTATTCATTGATAAAAATTAATACCCCAGAGTAACCCCACAAAAATTCGTTCGATTTGTTACGTCTCATTTTGCACATTCGCGTATTCAAAAACATCATGAAAAATTGAAAAATCTGTTTCATACGGTTGGCTGTCAATCCCGGAGAATCCAAATCATCAAAATAAGCGTTTTGACGGACAATATTGCTCGTCACTTGACCGAATAAAACTTTTCTACGCCAGAAATGATTTTGTCGTCCTACCGACGAAATATACTGTAGTCGAATGGGTTCGTAATTTCAAAACTGCCATTGACTCCAATACGTCAACTATTCGCTGTGCTTTCATTAATTCATTCCGGTGGACTTGCACAAACGGAGAGAATCTTTTGTATTCATTGATAAAAATTAATACCCCAGAGTAACCCCACAAAAATTCGTTCGATTTGTTACGTCTCATTTTGCACATTCGCGTATTCAAAAACATCATGAAAAATTGAAAAATCTGTTTCATACGGTTGACTGCCAATCCTAGAGAATCCAAATAATCAAAGTAATCTCAGTGATCTCGTTTCCCCTCAAGCCGCACTCACTTAGACAAATAGAAATAAAAAAATGTCATCTACCAATCCTAGCGTCACTCGGATATCGAATTACAGTGTTTGATGCATGAATGGTCGAATGGCATGGGCGTGCGAATCAGCTTGGAGGAATGATCACTGAGATCTTTTCCCGCCTTGAGTGCCCAATTAACCTTTTCCCAGGGATAACCCACATACGTGGGAGGGGCGTTTGCATTTCCCCTCCATAAAATAGCGCGAATATAAACAAAAAGAACAACAGTAACCGCAAAACTATTAACGAGTATATCTTCAAGTAAGTAATTCTGTCGGCTATTTAATCTGCCCATTGATCGATTTAGCGCAGTGAAACTAGTGTGGGTGGAATAAAAACAGAGGAAACTGATCATCACTCATAGTCGATTATTGTGCAACCGAGAGAACCTGTAGTATCGGAAGGGGTAATGCACCCAGTGATTGATCAGATACATTTTTCACCAGAAACAGAGCCTGTGGGCGCCCCCCCACACACTCACCTGTGTACAAATCCAATATATCAATAAAGGATTACGATACACTGTTAGAAAAGAAATGAGATTTCATAGACAGTTGTTTGACTAATGATTTTCCGGAGAGCGACACTGAATTCGATTTAAAAAGAGAAAATGATGAAATTTGAGATTTCGCTGATTATTCCCCTATTTAAATGTCAACCAATAGAAATGCAGTAGTTGATGGCTTGCGGAGGAGTGACATACAATTATTTCGATAATTTTCTGTTAAAATAAATGAAGAATTTTATTAAGCAATTATTCTTAAATAAATTTTATGAACATGGCTTTGATACGCAAAAACTTCAAATACTGCATTTCTGGGGTCAAAATTCAGATGGGACAATCCAACCGAATGCCCTTTGTGCTCCAAAATTGCAGAAAATTTTTCTCACGAAAAATTTTTATCAACAATCGGGATAAATTTTGCTCGGGATTTTAATCTGCAGAACTTCTCCCTCTCGTTGCTATGCAACAAAAATATAGGAAAATTTTCGAAAATTTTGGAGCATCTGCGTTATTGCTACCAAACGTTCAATGAAATTAAAAATTTTGGAGCAGCACGAAGATCACAATTCCGAAACTCATTAAAATTTTCCATCAAAACGTGCATATTCAGTACCAAATTACCCTGAATCTTCCCGTTTTCTCTCAACTTTCGTGGAATCATTGAACTTCAATTCACAGTAGTCATTGATTTTTCCACAGAACTATGATTTTTCAATTACAAAACTCATCGAAATTCCAGTGTAACCATAACCCGACAACAATTCAGTAGCGAAGTGGTCAAACGGTTTAAGTCAATTCAGTCTTAAGTTGAGTTTTCCAGAAATATTTCCGAATGTAAGGGAGATAGCGAAATTTTCATAACAACCTTTTTTATAGTCCGAATAGAGTGCTACGAAAAAGGTTATGAGAAAAATTTTGCTATCTCCCTTAGATTTCGAGATATTCATTGAAAACTGGCCAATAGCCAAAATCGACTTAAACCGTTTGACCACATCGCTCCTGAATTTCCAAAAAGTAAACTAGAAATTTCGGCAAAAATTCTCGACAGTATGAAACTTACACTGCTGTGTACTCGAGCGAAGGTGTCTCCTCCTCCTCGCCAATCGTTGCGAGATTACTCTGCCAGTAGTAATCATCGCCATTGTCCTCGCTACTCTCCGAACTACTGTCTGAGTCCGCCAATTCTTTAGTTATAATTATAGACACTGATTCAGGCGATTGTAAATCCTCAATTTGATCCAATGACGCGTAAGTTTCCTCCTCCTCGTCATCCGATTCACTGTATTTCCTATCGTAATCATCGTCCCGGCGCTCTCTCGCCTCGTCCCACACTTCCGGACTGCTCAAATCCGGGGACTCCGGGGTCAACGTTTTGGTAGAATTTCCAAAATTCTTGTGCCTGGGGGACGGGAGAATGGGAACTTTAATTTCTTCAATAAACTCGATATCATTGTTGTTGATCGTTTTCGATTGGCCCAGTAGGATTTTTTCCTGCGAATGCTCGGTTTCAAGAAACGCTTTCACTCTTTTCATCTCGATTATCTCGAGGACTTTGTTTGTCGGTCCCTCTTCCTCCTCATTCGGAATGGTTTCAGGGTTTTTTGAGTCATTATTTATCGATCCTGGAGTACTTTCATCTGTTATTGAGTCATTAAACTCCCTGGTTTTATCCTCGGGTGATTGTGATGGGCCTCCAATTGGTTCATTAACCATCGAGGGAACTTGTTGCTCTTTGCGCAACGATGAGATTTCTAAACCCGTGACATCACCCACCTCCGGTTTTTCACGAACAACTGACTTTGATATTTCTAAATTACGAACTGGTACAGGTGGTGCTTCACGTCTCGGCGCTGTTGGCGGTGGTGGCGGTGGTGGCAATCGTTTTCTTTTTAATTTTGAGTCTTTACGGGGTAATGGCTTTGGTGGAACTACTAATGAATCACCAGTTTTCTCGGCTACACTGATGTCAGGTTTATCATCCGAGACAGAGTCCTGGGATATCTGGTTCACTGGGATTCTATTAACATGGTTACGGACTGGTAGAGGTGGTGCTGGGGTAGCGTTGGTTTTTTGAGACGATTCAGCATCACCATTTACGGATTCAACGGTTGAGGCGTCGTCGCGAATTGGACGGAAGTGGGTGGTCGAGTCGGCTGCCAAATCTGCTGTGTAGAAAATTCCGGGTCTCGTTTCGTGGGCATAGCTGAGGGGGGCGTCCTGGAAGCTGAGGGGAGGCTGGAGGGTTAGCGTTTCCTCTATGAGGACTGTGTTGGGGGCCACCACTGCTGTGACCTTCTCAACGACGGCCCCAGCCTCGCCTCTGGATTCCACGTGGGTCACTGCCTCAGAATTGGCTAGACGCTTGAGCAAGTAGTCGGGGGGAGTGCAGAAGTCTTTGTCCAAGTGGTCGAAGGCCTCCAGGAGGTCGAGGGAGTCCTTTGGGATGTCCGGAGGGTTCTCGGAGGCTGTTGACGTGGTTGAGGCGCTCGAGAAACAGTCTAAGGCTGAGGTTTTGTCTACTACAGTGGACATTGAACTGCCTGTGTCGTCGGATGTGCTTCCGTGCGTGCTGGAGCCGTCCTGGGAACGGGCGTCGAGGTAGACCATTGCTTCGGGGGGTTCCTGAATCATGATAAGGGCGTGTTTAAGTATTACGTCAGGAGTTTTTTATGGTTTAGACCTCCTTTGTCCCTCTGTCATACGCCGTCACAAACATGGACGTTACGTCAGAAAATCCTGGTACGTTACGTCATAAAATGTAACACGTGACGACCACGTTGATATGTCGATTTTTTGTTGCTTTCTTTTTAATAAGACAGCAGTTGTTTTAATGAGAATAAGAAACAAAGCGAAGGATTAGGTGAACGATTAAATCGTCATGCGACGCTCTGAACTTTTCGGGGTTTGTTAAATTTTTGTCACCACAGTATTCCGAAAGTTTTCTGTGTGAATCTCTCTTTTTTTGAGAAGGACGAGAAGAAAATTGTTTTTGCGATTTTGTCGATGAACAATTGGCAATCTGATTTGAATCTTAATATTGAACCGTTAGGAAACATTTTAAAAATCTGAAAAAAATAGAATGTTTCCTTTTGGAGGCGGATTGATGAAATAATTTAAAAAGTGCAACAAACAATCAACTTTCTACCATAAAAATCATGTACTCCGAATCGTAACAAATTTATTCATATGCAGAATTTTACCAGAAATTGAGTTCATGGCTAAAAAATAAGGTTTGCGAAAATTTAAACAATTGCAGTTATTTATTTGTAAACATCGAATGTTTTAAAAAATGACATAATTATTTATGTTTATTTATTCAATTGGCGAATATTAGTTAGGCGGAGGTTTATTTTTCTAATGGAGTTTGTTTCTCATAATTATTTATGTTTAAAAGAATGACATATCTGTGCAAAATTTAATTTTTTTTACGCAATTTAATTGACAAATTTGATGATTGAAGATGATTGAATCTTTAGTGTAGTTTGTACCAAACTGCAAAAGATACTTGGATATCCTTAATTGAGAGCTAAATTTTTTATGCGCGATTTACCTGTTTACTTTTTGTGAATTCAGGGGATTTCTGATTGTTAGCTTTCGGTGATGAATTACAGCCATCGTTATTCGTGGATTTAGGGCCTCCACGGCGGCCATTCACATGTCCATTTTGGATTTTTTTCACTGGACTTGGATTGGCATCACCATCTGCCGAGCCACGAGCCTGTCTCAGTTTTCGGGGGGGAACGGGTGGAGGGAGGGGCGGCAATTCAGGGGGAGGCTGAGTTTTCTCTGGGCTCGACTTCCGCTCTGCACTGACCACCTTTGGTCGCAGAGCACCTCGACACCGGACGATTAATTTAATCACGAGTTGAGATTCTTTCAGGTGACGAACGCAGTCCAGACGACTCATGTGGGTCACTGGTACTCCATCGATGGATAGAATCTGGAGGCGATTTAATTATAATATTAGGAAAGAATGAAATTTCATGGACGGGTGACTAGTAATTTTCAGGACTGACATTCAGTTCGATTTTTTCGGGGGGAAAAAGTAATGACATTTCACATTTCACGGGAAATTCAATGAAATTTCTAATTTTCGAGCAGCAGGAAAATGAGAAATTCACAAAAAGTGAATATCCTGTACCAAATTAACCTGAATTTTCCTGATTTCTGTTAATTTTCGAGGAATAATTGAATTGCAATTTATTATGTTCATTGATTTCCCCCAAAATTTTGGATTCCCATTGCCGAAATCCCTTGATACTTCAATGGAACTATAATCTGATAAAAAATTCCGAGAAGTTTACCGGAAATTTCAGCCAAAAGTTTCACCAGTGTACTTTTAAATGAAACAATCAATGAGAATATTACATTCTGACTTCAAGTAATAGAATTCTGAAGAAAACTTCCAACAACAGATGTTTTTTCACCTGAAAATTCACCACTCGTGAGAATTGAGACGTACAATAAAACGAGTACATCCAATTCACAATGTTTTAACACTTCAGTCCAGACTTTACGGTGAAATGAATAAATTAGCAGTTTTTGTAAATTGTTATTCATGAAGTACCTCATCTCCCTCTCCCAAACTCCCCCAGGAGCACTTGGTCCTGCTGGCAGGACTGTGCTCCGCGCAACTCTGGACAAAGAGTCTTCTCACACGCTCCGACGTTTTATTACCGCCTTCAAACTTGAGGCCAAATCCCAAGCGCTCCCCAGGAAGCCTGTAAACCTCAACTTCCTCATCCAGTTGTCCTTCAAGTCCATTGGCACGTCCCTCAGTCTTTCCATTGCCGATCGACAGCACAGTTACGAAATTTTCAATCTTTGGCTGAGTTCCTACACTGACTACCGTAACAAAGTCGTCAGTTCCGTTCTTCGACTCCATTCTGCGTCCTCAATCCACTCATCTGAAGTACATTCACTGTGGAATAAAAAGATGGATGATGGTAAGTGAGTAGGTAAATTGATTAGATGAATATAAATTTGTTGGCTTTTTTTTTCCAAAAGTGAAACGATGATTTTCTCTGACTAATGCAAATTCATTAGAGGTCGAAGGTTTTTGCTGAGGCTGAATGGCCTGTGTTTTCACTCGGCTCGTGGTGTCTCTGGTGAGACGCGTTTGAATCGATATGATCGACCACGTGAAAGTATGTCTTTTGATGCTACCGGTAGGCTTGAAATCACAAAACTCCGTGTTTTTTCCATCTTCATTTCTTTAACCATTATTTTAGTAGTAGAATGTGACACGTAGAAAGTAAATTGACCCAGGGTCAATCAGCTGATTGGAGAGTCATTTATTTTTTTTATTGACATGAGGACTCAGGAAAAGGGAAAAGAATTTCTCGTCATTGTGTGCAGATTCTTTCGCTGGAACTGAGAGTTTATTATTCCAACGTCAAATAATTTAGCTCTCCACGAGAAGGAACAACTCGCCGAGTAAAAAATTGAGACGATAGGAATGTCTGGAATAATAAAAAGCCGAATTGTTCTCTGGTATCGAGAGAAATCCTGCTACACCCAGTAAAACCCGAATGAATATGTATGAATTTAAAAGACGAACAGAAACATACATTTCTAATCTGTCTTGATGATGGAAGATAAAACATCCAAATAAATTATCTCAAATGCTTTTTACCGTTCGCTAGTCAAACCCCGCAGTGAGACTCAATTTTAATAATCATCAGCAGATGAAACATGAATTTGGGATAACTACAAGCCGAATGCGCAGGTTCGTGTAACGGAATTTATAGCCGTAGGCATTTCTCGGCGCATTCTCGATCGGGTTGCGCGCTCGTTCTCTCGCGCGCTGCGCAAAAATTGTGCGTTGAGAAACACCAATGTCCGTAGAAGGGTTTAATGGTGATATTACCAAAAGGTAAGTTAAAATTGTTGAAAAAAAAATCAGCACAGCATAAAATTATGATTTATCACGGACTTAACCTCGGGATAAATGTGGCTGAGATGAAGTACGAATTACCACTGAAATTTCAAGGAATTTCGTCATTGAAAATTCAGAATTTCGTGGAGAAATCAAAAAGAACTGCAAATGTTTCATTTTTCCCTGAAAATAAGTAGAAAACCTGAGAATGCTGGTAAATATATTTTGGAATTTTCAAGACAGTGATACTGAGTGCGATTTATGGGGAAAAAATCATGAAATTTCAGGTTTCGCTGAAAATTCAGTAAAATTTTTGTGAAATCTGAAATTTCATGATTTTTCCTCTAAATCGCATTCAGTATCACTGTCCTGAAAATTAGTAGTCAACTGTCCATGCAACTTCATATTTTTTCTAACAATGTACCGATGAACCACTGAATCACGATTATGAGAGATGTATAAAGAAACTACACAGTGTGCATCATCGTATCATGCCATCGCGAGTGGAGATTTGAACTCGATAGCCGGGCAATCCGCGGTGGTGGATAAATGTGCCACTGGAACGAAGCTAGAAGACTCAAACGTGTATTAAGATGCAATCGTCATCCGACGAGTTTACTTCAAGTTGTCTCGCAATTACAAAATTATCGTGAAAGGTAACGTTTCGTTTGAGTTAACCGGGAGAGGTGAAAGAACTCGTCCAGTCATTTATTATTATTCTTTCTTCGATTACCACAGAACTCGGAAGTTGAGAAGAAACTCCACTGGCAGTTTAATTTTCAAAGTTTTCTATCGCTGACAAAAAGCAAAACCATTGAAGCAACTAATTATTGCCAGAGTCCCGGGGGACCCATTGAGCCCGGGGTTTACGATCAACGAGACTGGGCCCCAAGGCTCAATTAATTGGAAATCACTCTGACATATTGATTGAGAAAAAAAGCCACCATTTCTTGTTCACAAATTGGAAAAAAGAATACGTGAAATTCGTTGCATAACGATTAGGCTCATTAATTCGCGAGTTAATGTCACGACTGGGGTAATTTTGCACTTGCTCAGTGGCAAATATCCGTTCCAATTTTTCACCCACTCGTGGGCCTCACCCCCATTGTATTTCGGCGCACTGCCTCTCCTGTGGAATCCCATACTATTTTCCCATTGCGTTAACAAACAGAACTCCATGACAATGCTGTGTTATGCAACAATTGCAGACTCGCCGTGACACGCTCTCTGACACGGTTCGAAGGCTTTTGCACCGCAATCCAACACTCATTTGAGCTCATTTTCCCCCCTAAAACGAGACAATGAAAGAAGGGATAAAAAATTATGAGAGAAATATGTGAATGAAATTCCGGGGAATAAAATTTCCTTTGACCTTTAACGCTTGTACGGTCAATGTGTCGCCTTTATAAGAACATTACATTGTCTCTAAACTTTCACGTGACTCTGCAAACTCCATAATTGCAACCGCTAAGAAGGTCGGCTGGTGAGGAAAGAGGTGATAAATAATATTCCAGGAGATACATTTGAATATTGTTAGAGTAATCCCCACGTCTGGCTTGACGTTTTTATTTGATACAAAGCTGACGCAATGGATTCTTTTATCGTATTCCATTACAGATTCAACAGACTCATAATCGAGAAAACTGGTTGACAATCACCATGACAAAACTGCAAACGAAATTATCACACACAACATTGAAGATATAACGCCCATAAATTCCCACACCAATGCCATAAATCACTCCTGGAGCTCCTTCACTCCAACATGGTGAAAATAGGAAATCTGTTGAGTGAATAGCTGTGACGTTTCCCTTATCTACGAGGCTTTTAGTCATAAATGAATGAAAATGTCGCCAGTTTATGAACCCTTATCTCTTGAATTCTCCAGTTTCGTTCAAATCTAATTAACACGGGAGAGGAAAATGTGTTGATTCTTGATGGGTATGTACAACATTCCAGAAAAGGATGGGAATCCCACCTACGAAGGAAGGAAATGTCAAACTGGAGACGAATCGGACCATTTAAGGACCGTGGAAAAACATTATAAATCATCCCGAAATGTCAACATTCATCGTCAAAACGCAATTAGCTGTTTCAAGAATTATCGTTGAATCACTATTCCGCATTGGAAGAAGTCCTAAACAAGTAAACCATGGACCTGAATAGGCAAACCTACTCACAGCCATCTAAGGATCGTGGGAAATCATAAAAAATAATCCCAAAATGTCAACATTCACCCGTTCAATTCAAAAACTGGGAACGAAACCTTTGAAGAATTGAATCAAGTAATTCTAGTACAGTTAAATGTTTTCTGTACTGGAAAAAGTCTCATTATTAACTGCTGCCAGCGTGGAGTGAAACTCACCGAACGACTACAGAAAACCATAAAAAAATCACCCGAGCACTGACAACTCACCATAGACTCCAGAGTCACCTCAAAAATTTCTCCAGCACATCGACAAATATTGAAATCCCAGAAGATTAATAATTCATCGTCACAAGTCGCGCCATCTCATCTCATCCTCTCCCGAAATAAATAAATGAGTAGAATAAACAGATCAGGGATTTAAGCGCCAAAGCCCGCCCCAAAAATTCAAAAGCGAAATTGCGAAAGGGGTTGCAACTCGGTCAATGAGTAATTTGCAAAATCCGCATTATCGTGTCCGGCAATGCCCGTAACTTCACGTGTTTACCCAGTAAATAAATAAATAAATATGGGAAATAGATGGAAACGTCCATTCGGTAGAACGCGCGTCGGTGAACTGGTGGGCAGCAGCCGGTAGGCTGACTTTCTTCCATGCCGCGCACGGATCGCCCCTTTGATTACAAACACCGTCGTTCGTCGTCGTTTTCCCTCCCGTTGAGTGTTTCGTATTCACGTGTGTGCGCAGTGTGAGCGCGAGTGAGAAGAGGATACGTGTGATACCCACCCCCCTCGTCGACAGGTTGGTTGCTGAAGAAGAAGAAGAGAGGAAGGAATGGAGGAATGAAGGAGGTATGGAGCGAAAGATACTGGGCACTGTTAGAAATTTTTTGAAAATTAAGGAATACACTGTTGGAAATTTTTTGAAATTTCATGGAAGATGTATAGTAAAGCTCATGAGAGTGACATTGAATCGGATTTAGGGAAAAAATGATTGTGAATTTTCAAGTTTTGAGGAGAATTCACGGAAATGCATGAGTTTTCAGTGGGAGTGAGATGCAGAGTTGCCAGATTTTGGCGATTTATAGCCAAAACCTGTACAATTTTAAATGGGGTGACATCACGATCTGGTAACACTGGTGAGATGAAAATTTCGGGACTTGATTGAATTTTTAGTGGAACAGAATATTCAGAAACAAAATTACATGAATTTTCAATTTTTCCCTCAATTTTCCTGATTTTTATGAATTTTCACAGAATAATTGAACTGAAAAATCAAGTTCTTCATTGATTTCCAGATCATTTGAACGGAAAATCAATGGAATATTTGATTTTCCAATTACAAGATTTCCTGAATTTTCAGGGAAATTTGAACACGATAAAAATTTCCGGAATTTCGCACCGAAAATTCTAACAGGCTTCGCGCCCGTCGCCAGATTAGTTTATATAATATTATTTCATGTTATTTCTTTCGCCTTTTCCGTCTTCAGGATTAGATTAATTTAATTCCATTCATTCTTATTCTTGATGAACATATTTTTGGCAACTGTAAAACTTACCGAGGAATTACCCCATCAAACATCTTTTCGAATAATGAAAGAATACCCATCAATTCGATTTGTATCCTTTTTCTTGATAGAATGGCGAATGTAAGAATGGCATTGAGTAGCAAAAATTACGAATTGGAAACTAAAAATTTTATGCGATCATTATTATACATGTAATTTTCATTATCATGTGAACCTGAAAATTGCAATTCCATTGAATACTCCAGCATTCACCTAACACATCAATAACAAAATCCATGAAAATTTCGAGTGAATGATTGAAAACTTTTACTTGAAATTTCAAGAGGAATTTTCTAACAGTGTGGGTAACTCAGTGTATCCTTCCCTCTCTTCTCTTGCCCCTAGCGCATCTAAAACCACCAAGTGTACATCACTCGTCCCATATTATCCTGTATCGACTTTCCATAACGATTATCCCCGGTGAAGAAATGTTGAGGAAGGTGAGCGAGAGAGCAGGCCTGTTTTTTTTCATATTTTTTTAAATTTCAGCTCGGAGTGAGCCCGGAGGCGAACGTTAGCCTCAGGCTCACTCCCGTAAAATTCCGTATTTATGCGTTGAGTTACTGATTTGCAACAGGTTCACCGTCTCAATGTGTGGAGACCCCACGGGAAATACTGTTCCCATGGTTTATCAATTATCTCGGATTTTTGTTTCACTTCGTTCATTTTTGCCGGTTTTTTTTTGCGCACGGTGGGCTCCTCTAGACGAGTTATTCGTGGCAACAGGTTCACGTGTTTAGCATGGTACTGAAATTCCAGAGACGGGACCCACCTTTCTTTCCACGCGAGGAGACACCTCGGGTAAGTGTGGTCTACGGCCGGCTGATGTACGAGCCACTGCGAGGCACTCTTTAACGGTATATCTCAAACATTTGCCCGAGATCTGGGTTGCTGGGGTACATTGGTATGCCGGTTTCGTACTTACACTTGTGGTACTGAGATTATAAGACCATCTGTGGTTGCATTATCGGTGGTCTTGTAATTCCGCGGTCGGAATGTTTGGAGAGGATTATGTAATTGTTTGGCGGTTTTTGCGTTTTTTTTATGGTGAGGGAGAATGAGTGGAATGGTTTCTTTGGGGACAAATATTTTGATTGGAAGGAATGAAAGGCGGGGGTTATTCGCAGCTTCGTGCGTTTTATGGAGCGCCTTTTTTCAATGCGGGGAAAGCATTCGACGATAATAGTATCATTTCAGGGAATTGAATTCACAGAGAAAAGAATGTTTTAATTTTTCAGGGACGTGTCGCCGATTTTCAGGAAGTTATAGTCAATTATTAGGGAATCGCACTCATTTCCAGTGATATCACTAATTTTTAGAGTCACGTCGCGGATTTTCAGGGACCTATCTTTAATTTCTGTGAATCTATCACCAAATTTCAGTGATAAACGTCAATTATGAACGGGGTCATTGTAGTCAGTATTCAGTATCACGAATAATTGGTGATAGATTCCTGAAAATCAGTGACATGTCCCCGAAAATCAAAACTTTTTGCTTTCGAATGAAAACTTTGTAATCGTCCGATTTTCAATTTTTAGAAAATCGAGTAATTAAGTGGCTAAAATCATTCCGAAGAATGTGAAATCTTGTCAGATTATAGATCGTAATGTGGATTAACTCTGTGCAAAATTTGGGCCCGATCAGTGCGATAGTTTTTTAAGAAAAGCGATTCGTGATTATTATTAATTCGTGTTTGAAATTCGGACAAATGTTCATTTTAATGTCTACAAATGTCTACAAAGCTGTGTAAAATTCAGACATGCGTTTTTGCCGTGTCATAAAAACTTCGCCACCGATTTTCCCTTTTCTTTTTGTACAATTAAAAACCTTCGACGCACTCTAACTCGTGTAAAATTCAAGCTATCAACTTGTGTTCCTTAATGCTCTTCAAACGAATTACTGAAAGTGTTATTTTTATTGAATGAAACAGCCATGTTCATTTTATCATGATTCTCCGATAAATGTTGACATTTTGAAAGTAATCCGGCCGAATAACGGACAACACATGGTACATCAGTAACTGCTCTGTAACATTACGTTACACACATCCTCACGTGAACTACTGTCCACTTCGTGAATATAGCTTACAGTTGACTTGGAATTGCATCGAGGCGTGTTGGGAATTCGATCTCCATATTCCGCGGAATCCAGCAGTTGGCATGTAAGAGTTTCAGATCAAACCGATCATCGTGCTTTTCCCACAAGTGTCGGGTCACTTGAAGTGGCATTGCGATTACTCATGAGAGAAAAGAAGTTGCTTTTGTGAAAGCGAATATTTTCGTTTTTTTGTCAGTATCCTAATGAATTCCATTTAATGCATCTCTGGGATGCAGCTCGGGTTCTAGTTATCCTATGATTGCTGAAAATGCGACGGGAAAAACTCATGTCTGGCGCCTGCGTTTACTTCCGTGACCCAAATAGCTACAATTATTAGTTTCTACAGTATGATTTTTTCATTCAAATTATTGTAGTTGGATTGAGTGGTGATAATTGCCCTCCAATTTCCGAGCAAGACCATTCACTGTTGATTTCCCCTGAATTTATTTCCTATTCATGTTTTCTCATTCTCTCTTTTTCATTATGAATCGGAGAGAATTCCAGTGGGGATTATTGACTCTCAAATGAGGACAAACCCGCGTAATTCATCGATTTACACTAATGGGATAATTTGCGCTTTCCAGTGGTTATTCTCTCGCAAAAACAAAGGATTCACCGAAAGTAAAAGATTGCATCTGTGCATTTTCCCATCGGATAGTTCAAACGTGGTTTATTGTTTGAAAAATTCAGGAGTAAGTGAAATTGAAACTTATACCGTGTTTGAATTATTCAACACGTTATTACATTCAAAACCTCCCTAGACTACTGGGTGCATCGTTGAGGAGTCCATTTGCCTGTAACTTTAGTGGTTGAAATATCGCGCAGGTGAGTGTCCTCGTGTTTCAAGCTGGGGGGCCACTTCTGCCGGCTAGTGGGCAGAGAAGTGGGATCCTGAGACAGGTGATAACGGTATACGCAGAGGTTGAAGGCACTCGTCGATAAGTCAACTAAACAATCCGGTGAGAAAAAAAAGCGAAAAAAAATTCCAAAAACTTCGAGTGTTTTTCTTCGGTAATAAAATTCATTGAGACATCATCCGAGACCTTGACCAACAGAACCGGATGTGTAGCTTAAGCCCCGTCTCTGTGTCACATGTTGAGCACAATTTGCACTTAAGAGTGTTCAGAAGCCTCTCAAGTGGCACGCGGTCCGATTTACTTTACCCTCGAGCGTCACCGCACAAAAAATTCTTTCCGGTTAATTTCAAAGCAACATGCACTCAATCATTCATTGGTGCGCACAAAGAGACGAGGGAAAAAAATTAATCGATGAAATTTAACACGAAAATATTTCCATCGTAAAGATAGTGAGATGGAAAATTGTAATTTTATTTGTGATTGAATTGCTTTGTTCAATATAAAAAATGAGAAAGAAATGGTCTTGAAATGCACGAATCGAGGTCGTCGGGTCGATCTCTCGTAGGTGCCTTCGGGCACTTGTGTTTTGCACTGCGGCTGGTTAAATGAATATACCGAGAATGCAGGAAAACGTGAGCACCGTTTCTTCCCAGGGTCTTTTCTTGAATGAAGCGCAACACGCGAGGCACTTCGGCGTTTCACTGTTGATGGAATAAAAAACGATAGTCTATTCACAGATGCATCTATTCATGACGTGAAATAATAAATGGGGTATTTAATCAAAATAAATAAGAATTAATTACACTCACTTGAAAACTCTCTTTTTCAATCTAAAGGTCAAGTGCACTGAGCACTTTTTCTTTTTTCCTATTTTCATCATTCGTTTTTCATTCGATTTTTTTTTTCATTGATGACTGCCGAATCTTCATTATGAAGCATGATGAGGACCGGAGTTCTCTCCGGAGATGCACTGTTTTCATTGGCTTATGAACTAAATGAGGATTTAGTAAGTACAACCAGGAATAATTATTCTCAGAGACACTGAGATGAATAAACATGTTTTTTTTCGATTGTTTCTTTTATTAAAAAAGTGGTATTTGGTAAATAAAATTTGTTTTTCCTTCCTCGTTGCGTACAGCATTAACGTAATCATAATTGTTTATATATAATATAGTCAGATAATCAGATATTACATTAAGTAAGCACGATTCGGACAGACTATGTCTTCTCGATTATTCATTTTATCATTTTCATTAAAACAAAAATTCTCTTATTCAGCTCAAATATGCAGCTGCTGAGGAACTGCCGTTTGTCCATTTCTCTGGACATTCCTATAGTATATATTACAGTTAGCATTGAATACAATTAATCGATAGTGGTGTTTTTTTTCCATTTCTCAATTTATTTATTTAATTTTTAGATATTTCTCAGAGCTCGATTAGTCGAACTTCAAGCGTGAAACTTAGGCTCGGCTGAGGCGCCGTAGAACACTCATGTTTCAGTTTTCAAATCGTTTCATTCGTACTCTGTGGTTTTCCATTCAAATTTCCGTTCAAATTCATTAAAAGTCGTGGTGTCACGATTGGTTTAAGTCCTAAATATTATATTTTCACGTTCACAAATTTCATGTTTCTTCATTGCGACGATAACGCGAGTCATCGAACTCGTGATAATTCGTTCCTGTGATTTTTTCTCATTCATGTTTTTGAGGCATCGATTTATCATTCCGCTTTCATTCTAGTTTATCTTTTTCACTAGCTAAATTCACCCCTTACACTCCTCGATAACTGTGAAATGAACGAGAGATGCACATGATTTATGGTGGACTTGCAGAAGCGCATTTGGAATATGATGAGCATGTAACGATATGATGTTCCATGTCAGCCATATTTTACGTTTTAATTAATGTTTTTTCATGCATTAGATTTTTCGATGAATACTAACGACTCACAAGACTACGTATACTCAATGTTGTGACATTCATTTCACCGTCAAGTGTGAAATATTTTTGAAATTATTGAATTCAAAGATAATTGGTGGTAAATTTCGTATGAAAGGAAATATGTAACATTTACACTTTACGTGAGAACAAAATAATCGAAAATACACTGAGAGTAATATCAACATAATATCACAAAACTAGTATCTCGTAAGGGTTGATGAATCAGACAATGTAAGAATTCGGTGAAGTGTTCATCACAAACAAGAACACTTTACGATAAAGTGAGAATTTTTTGCCTTAAGAAATCTTTTTTTTCGTGTCAAAAGAGGAGAAAATGACTAAAAATATTAGAAGCTCCGAACAGAGAATCATGGATCGACGACTTTCATATTGAATGAATACAGAATTCATATATTTCTCAAATATAAGCGTCACATGCTCTCAATCGCAGCGACTTCGAAGGAAAGCAATAATCTCTGTTCCTTCTTTCCAACTGTCCCTGTCTTTTGTGGAATATTATCTGATTTCGAGGAAACATCATCTTATCATTCAGTATTCAGTATTTTATTGGTACTCATTTACCCCGAAGAGCACCGATCTCTTGTCTGGAATCTACCATGAATTGATCGAATATGTATGCGATGTTCTTCAGTCAAGAAATTATTTCCGGGATATTAAGTCAATTTTTTTTCTCAGTGTATCCCGCACTCGCTGTAATTTTACGAAATACGTTCATCTCTGTATTTATATAGTCTACCGATGGCAATTGGTAGGAACATTTAATTTAACAATAGCGGAAGTTCATCATGTTCATTTTTCTTCTCGTGTTGATAAAAAAATATATTGACGCAAGCATAAAGTGCTGCCCCCAAATGTTCTATTGATTTAATTTTCACCACAACAATCACCGCTTACTATTTAAACTGACAGTGTTCTCATTTTTATCTATTTCATTGAACTTTCGGAAGTAAGAGGACTAGAGAATTGGTAAAACTGAAATTGTACATTAAAGTCGTCTGTTGTCTTTGTCTTCAGAACAAAAATGAAATTCTGCGAGGCACCGCGGTGTGATAATGGTTATTGAGCAAACCTATGAATTTGGGCACGTTTAATTAGAGATCGATTCATTGTGTCTCTGTTAATAATTGTTCAATAGACAATTGGACACTGCTGCGACAATTGTCTGTTGATTGCTGATCTCTACATAAAAGCTGCCCCCTTCGATTTTACACCCCTTCAAAAAATTTTCTATCCGCTACCCGACTATTTTTCATTCTGCTATTTCATTGCACTATTTCAATTTCTTAGTTAATGTCAATTGCAATATTCTAAATGCTCTTTTCAGGAGCACTGAATGAGTTTCAAAATGATACGTATATTGTTTTATGTCGTCAACAACTTCAAGGTATAAACATTCGAGTGGAAATTCAGCCCGGCGAATTATTCTGGGAGTTATCAAAATTAAAACACTATACACTGTTAGCAATTTTTTGGTAATTCAAGTAATAGTTGCACCTAAATTCTCTATGTTGTGAATTTGAGTTGAATTTAAGATCGAATCGTTTAGGAATTTGCTAAAATTCTTGAAAGAAATTGCGTACATTAACCACAAAATATGCAGAAATTGTACGTAAAGTTGTCGTTCACAGAGAACAAAAATTTTCTGGTTTCCAGTCACAGTCTCTGAATTTTTTTTCAAAAATTTTGAGGTTCTCAAATTGAAATCCTTGTCCCCTATAATTGTCTTCATCAATAACGATGTGACATCACAACTTAGGCAATTAGACAACCCCCTTCCCGCTCAGTCACGAATCGTCACAAATTACAGAACCTCCTCCCTTCCTCAATCACGTGACGCAATATTTGAATGCCCCGAAGGGTTCTTATTTTAAGAATCCAAGGTTCTTGATTTCAGTACCCAACGGCTCTTGATTTCAGTACTATGACGGAATGGTTCTGGATTTCAGTACCGCGGTGCTGGCAACTGAAAACGTTTGTTCTCTGTGCTGTTAAAACATTTTGTGACCTTTTACTGGAAATATCAAGAGTAAATTTTTAACAGTGTAGGAGAAAGTTGAATAGTCTCGAAAAAAGAAACAATGAAAACGTTGAACTACGGATACAAATTCTAAAGCTGCAATGTGAGACTTTATGCGCCTAGATGTACCATTTGAAAGAGAACAAGGGAAGCTTGTATTTGTATTCACGGTACTCTGTTCCATCAGTTCATTCAAGCATCAACCGAAATTTTTCTATTAATTTAAATTAATGTCTATAGTTGTTTCACGAGGGATACTTGATTTTTCACGTTGAGTAGCTATGAATCGAGCACGCAGCCTCATTACAATGAAAGGAATAATACGCTGAACTGCGCCTTGTTTTCAATCACTCAAATTCCAAGCACATGATAACATCTCCACAAATTTCTTCATTTATACAATTAAGAGACCGAACGCGCGTTACAGCGCGCTGTAATTGTAACAATCACATTTGAAACTCTCAAAATTAAATTAATCATGAATTAAATTTGCCGCCTCAGACGACTGGAACCAATGAGGAATAAGCGCGACAGACATTCGAGACATCGATAGTTATCGACTTTAAGTGTATGTTTTTTTTAGAATAGGAAAGTCCAAACGTTGCTCTTTCGACATGTCCAGCTCTCTTGATATCGATCCAATAATTCTCGTCTTTAGTGTATGGATATATGTTTAATACCTCAATAGTCTAAGCAATAACTTTTGTTTTCCTCCTATCTTTCGAAATTTTTACTAGTCAATTGAATACTTGAAAATACGAGCGAGGCTTTTGGTTTTTAAAACTATTTTACATAATACATTGAGTATGCGACTGACGCCGAAAAGTCTGAGTTCATAAAATTTTTCATGGAAAAACTGTTGTTTTTGCATTTTATGCGGGTAACGTGTAATACATTTCGTTAGTGGTATTGTTATCTCTCCAGTTTAAGAATTTTTCAATTTTTTTTCCCTTCTGTATTTCGAGTGTTAACGCGTTTGTGTGGATTTTCGTAGAATTGGCACTGACATGAGGCAGTAGAGTGTGAGTTCAACTGTGAAAGGGAAGCAGGCAAAATGATCATGATACATCAAGTAGAATCAAAGATGAGAAATTAAAATTAAGATGACAGAGAGAAGTACCTCAATTATCGAAATAGATTTGTATCGATCAAGAGAGAGCTAAGCTATGAATAACTATCAACTTTTTTCCCACTTCACTTTCCTCCTGCCTAATGATTTTCTCATTTTTCTTGCTACAAAAAAATTTCTAGGATGAATTGTGGACTAATTACTAAAAGATTTACATTTTTCATTTTCCTATTTATTAGTTTTTCCTTCCTTTTTTTTCATTACTTTGTTACAATTGATACGTTTACGTTTATATTCTGTACAAAAAAATGTTTTTTCTTCGTTCAAATTTTCACTTCCTTCACCGGCTTTATCGGTCAACTGGTTTTTGTTAATTAAATTCTTTTTCAACGTATTGGTTTTTACGATGTAATAACGTGTAAAGCGTTAAAAATAAATGTAGGTACTTTCTATTAGGTCACTGGTACTAGAATTAATTACCATTATTTGCTAAAAAATATGTTGTTTGTTTTTTTTTATACTCAAAGCGGGCATGTTGCGAAGTGAATGAGAAGAAAAAAATAAGGATGGCATTTTTTCATTAACGCATGAACAATGAACAAAAACATTGTGGAACTATTCGTATTGTTTTCGTTTTTCTTTTCACTTACTGGGAAGGAGAGGATTACGATGAGATTTTACAGGGAGAGGGGCAGAGGGGAGGGGATTAGCTAATCAGTCTTGTATTTGAGGCTCATTATATCTAGTTTCAACTGTATTGCGTTGCTCGTATGTACATCTTCACCTTTTCTATCTTTCATTATATTATTATTTTTTTCTCAGTTCGTTTCTGATTTTCAAATGATTTATTCATCATTAAAATTGGGAGAGGGAGAGGGTCAGTATTTCATTTGTCCGTTAATCAATCTTGACTCTCACTGGGTTAAAAATACAGTCTGTATGCTCTCATATATTAATAATTAAAAGCATATTTCTTCTGTTTTCAATTAAATTCTTGAATAATAAATTATCATTCTTGGATTTGTTTTGATCATTAAACAATAATAGTATCAGCATGGTAAAGGCTGCTTCAAATGAATATTAATGATTTTTCCATGAGATATTGATAACGAACGAAATATTGACCTTAGAAAAGTAATATCTTACGTCACTTATTATTTCTGAAGCCTGAACTTTTTATCGCAATGTTTATCTTTTTCTCTTAAAAAAAGCAGCTAGCCTCCTACGTAATTTATTTCAAACGATGAGTTATCAGTTAGTACCGCTAAGCGTAAGGTTGAGTCCTAGCGCCCTTTCAACTTGTTTTTCTTGCATAGAATTTACGAAAATGTGATTAATTTCACTGGGATAAATTGAAATTGCATGGACAATTTTAAATACCATCACGGTAATTCTATAACATATCATGGAGAAATCACAAAATGTATACGAAATTTGTTAATCATTATCGAAAAGCTATGATTCAGTCTAGGATGATGTTAAATAAAAATCTAACCACACGTATGGTGATTATTTTCACTGATGAACATTACGATGTCAATGATTTTGTCATTCGAAACTCTAGGGGATTTGTATAAAAGCTCCTCACACTCCTCAATGTTGAATTCCGTAGAATTCTCAAGGACTACGTTGTTGTACCACCGATATAACCGTTATTAAGATTCTCTGGTTTTTTCGAATAATCGACTGGCGATTTATCTTTATCGTCGTTGGATATTACATCAGCCTCGACCTCAACAGGCGTTGGAAATGTTATTTTCAGGGAGACAGTGTCTTTATTCTCGATCGACGATACCGCCTCAGGACTGCGATTTTCATAATCGGGAGTTTTAACTTGCAACATATTTCGTCCACGATTGCTATTCAACGATGCATTTCTATTTTGTGGGCTCAATGAATTTTTACCAGAGGCCGGACTGACACTGTTGCGCGGGGTACAACTGTTCTTTAAAATGGACGGTGAAGTTTTAACTGACTTCAGGCTGTCCTCGACGAATGGAAAATCAAGGGTATCTTTGCTTGAGCTTAAGGAACCACCGGACACACCGTCAAAATCATCGAAGCCGGCTTTTAGGGGTACTTTTGTGGAATTAAAGTCGCGAAAGTTTGTTACTAGTTTCGAATTTTCACCGTATGGACCAGAGCTGTATCGCGAATTTGCACTGTTTCTCAAACATGTTGGCTCTATGCTAGCAAAATCACCGAAATCACGACGCAGGGGGTAGTCCTCATCGCCTTCGACCTCGTCCTCACGAAGTTCTTGGAGAGATAGTTCGAAATCCCTTGAAAAGAATGAAAAGTTTTCATTAGATTAATCAAATATTAAAGACGAGAAGTTGAATTTTTCTTGCTAGAGGAGTTCTTTTTGAAGATCTTACTTGTCGATCCCCGGGGAGTTCTGACTATTTTGATTTCTCGCCTCGATTCCATCTGGGCTGTGGTAAAAGCTGACCTCCGAGAAACCCTCAAGTTCCACCTCTTGCAGCAACATCGTGACAATGTCGATGAATGTCGGCCTTTTATTGACTTTTTGATTCCAAGTCCGCCTCATTTGAATGTAGAGAGAATCCGGGCAGTTCTCGGGTCGTTCCATCACCCCTCCGTCAATGACATACCTCAATACCTGAAAGGAGGGAAATGGTGACCGAATTTTGAAGCAAATACTCACATTATTCAAATTCATAAATAAAAGATCTTCATCCATTTTTTGAAAATCGCGTTTTTTAAATTCTAGAAAATCTTATCGTTTTTTGGGCTGATAAACACCTTTCTGATGATGAGTTACAGCTTTGACCAAATGAAATAGTAACGAAATTTGTTGTACTTGGGCTTTTATGAACATCTCTCAAAATATACTAAATCTACCGGCCCAAGAAAAGTTTGGGAGAAAACTTTGAAGCCTTTAGAAACTTGAATAACAACCCTACATGGATCCCCTGAATGTGAGTTTTAATTCAATTTAAGAAGGAATCATTCAAAAGAAATTCAATTTTTATGTTGAGTGATGTTGAAATTTCACTGACGGACTAAATTCCAAAATCCATTTGGAAATTAAGCATTACATTCCCTCGAATTTCCAATAGATTGAATATTGAAAGCAACACTTTCCCGAATTCTCCCCATGTTCAGCAATTTCCTAATAGTGCACGTTAGCGCTCAGATTTGATATATATGTTCTATTTTATTTCAGCTAGGATTTTCCTCGGCACGACGAATATAACTATCAATAAAAAATACAAAACAATCTACACGAGTGCGTGCGATTTCTGATAAACATTCTTAAAATGACTGCTTCGACAAACCATCAACTTGATTAATGGTCCCCCCCCCCCCACAAACAACCGATTTGATTGATTGCCAACAATAATTTACCTGGTCATTAGAAAGACCCTGATACGGTTGCGACGCGAGGGTAACCATTTCCCACAGTACAACGCCATAACTCCATACATCCGAAGAGCTCGTGAAAACACCATCCTTGAGACTCTCCGGTGCCATCCACCTAACCGGAAGTAGTCCCTTGGTCCCCTTCCGATAGTAATCAGTCTCATAAATATCCCTAGTCATCCCAAAATCTCCAATTTTCACCGTCAAATCCTCAGCAACCATGCAATTACGTGCTGCCAAATCTCGATGAACAAACTTCTTCGCAGACAGATAAGCCATTCCATCGGCAATCTCAGTAGCCATTCTCAATATCCGCTTCAACGTAGGTGGCTGCCTCGACAAATGAGTCATACTGTCACACTGATCCGGCCTATGACTCCTCAAATAAGTCTTTAAATCCCCATTCACCATCAATTCCATAACAACGAGAGTAGGCTGACCACGTGACACAACACCAAGTAGCCTAACAACATGATGAGTGTTGAAGGCCTTCATAACAGACGCCTCATTGAGAAATTCAATTCTCTCCCGATCAGTGGCATTCTCATTGACTGTTTTAACAGCACACTTTACTTCTGGTCTACCCTTGACAACATCCTTGGCAAGGCCCTCGTAAACCATTCCAAACGAGCCATTACCAAGTTCCCTCAACAATCGAATTTTCTTCCTCGGCATTTCCCACTCGTCCGGCACATAAACTGTGCTAACATATTCAGGATTGACAGTGGCAATGAGCCTACTGGGCATATTGCGCATGAGTTTTCGCTTGCATAGCCACACGGAACTGAAGAACACAACGACAATTATGGCGAACACACACCAAAGGATAGTCCCAAGAGTTCCATTGGGATTGTACTCAGCCACATAAAAGTACTGTGTCTCAGAGTCAGCACCAGCCCCGGCAAGACTGGTGGCCCTCACCTTCACCGAATAATTACCACTCGCAAGATCCTTCAGTACATAAGACTTGCCAGCAGCGGCAAAGTCACGCTGAGTTATGCAGATCGGTGTTGCCTGAAAATTCTGAATATCAATGCGTTTGTACTCAATGTGATAAGTAACAATGATACCATTCGGCTGTTTCGGCTCGTCCCACTCGAGTTTCACCATTTGCTGGCTATTGTTACCACCTATTAGTTGGTATTTGAATGAGCCCGCTGGTATATCATCAGCCCCCTCGAGCTGAAGTGTACGATATGTTCGCATTGTTTTAGTCGAGCAGAGATCAGTTTCATTAGCCACTTGCTGACGACACGCCTGAATCTCGATATTGTAAGCAGCGAAATTTCGTAAATTTCTCATGACGAAGGACTTGTTGTCGCTGGGCACACGGCGCTCAAACGAGATAATTCCACCATTGAGAAATTTGTCAGGCGCTGGTTGTTGGTTACCCGGAGGTTCAGCTGCACGTTTGCGCACAGTACTGACCAATCCATCACTAAAATCAGTCTTGACGTTCGAGCCATCAACAACAACGCCGAAAAATTCATCGTAGATGGAATCCTCAGGGTTCCCAATACTCGAGAAGCCATTAGTATTCCTCTTTCTTCGATTATTAATCCTCTTGACGTACACTCGATTGTGCAGGGCATCCTCGAAGGCAATGGAACTCGACACCTCCTTCTCCCTCATCAGTTGATCAGACTCTCGATCAGCACAGTCACACACTGCCTGCTCCGGGAGTTTTGTGAGCTCACGCTCGGTCTCAGCGCGCTTACGCTCCTCCTCAACTCGTTCCGCTTCTGTTCTCTTCTCAGGTAAATGCATAGGTTCCTTGCAGTAATTTCTCTGTGCAAGAAATGTCGGATCATCCGGCTCCCACTTGCCGACGATACGATAATGCGTTAGATTGCCATTTGAATTTGTCGGCTCGGTCCAGTGAATGATCAATTCACTGCTGGAGTTGCTCCACGTCAGAAGGACACGAGGGGGATCCGGGGGACTTGGCAGTGTCGTGAAGTACGTGAGCTTGCTCTGGGCTCCAGAGCGCTCAGTAGCAATGGTATACGTTTTCACGTAGTAAGCGTACTGAGTGTACGGTTTCAATTGTGTGAGTATGTGTGTTAATAAGGCTACAGTGGCATCTGTGGCAGCTACATCATCAACACGCCAACGATCGCCACCACATGCGTCCCTGCCGTCATACATGGTGACATTCTGATAGGGTGCTTCGATGAAGTAAACAACGTAGCCAAGGAGTGATCGGGGATCATGATGTTGAAAGGGCTCCCAGTTTATCAAAGCTGCCTCTGACGTTCTCTTAGCCACAAATGTCTTCAACTCGGTTACATTACACGCAACTTTATCGCCATTGCTGTTGGGGGCCACTTCCAAATCCGTGAATTCCTTGAGACCGGCTTTTTGACGCAGCGCCTCGATCTTTTGGAAGCAAAGCTTCGGGTTGAAATGGAAGAACACCTTGGCGTTATCATCACCAGGGCCGATTTTTATTCCTGGATGAGTCTCCCAGTTCCAGAGCTCCTGCAAATTTTGATTGTCCAGCACGGCTAACGTGTACTTTCCATTATCCAAGTATTGGCCCTTTATGCTGCGCAAATTTTTCAGGAAGTTGAGGGATATCAGGGGGAAGCTTCGGACTATCTTCAGGTAACCGTCAATTTCCTCAATCATACTGAGGCTCTCCTCCAGCTCTTTCACTATGTTCTTTCCCCCACGTATTTGAATCTCCAAGCTGCCTTTAATGTGGGTACATCCACTGAGCTTCTGAGCTGAGGCAATACTGTCTACATTTGCACCTGAGCATTCCTTCAGACAGAGGCCATCGCACTTCTTGCACGTTTGCCTACCGTCACGCTCCTCCTCCATGAAGCCAGGAGGACAGTCTATGAGGCAGGTGTTGTTGAAGGGCTTGTAGGGGTAGTCTTTTATGTTGTTGTATGCCTCACGTGGCTTCTTCATCTTTCGACACTCGCTCTCCTCGATGCAACGACGTTTCATGAACTTGTAGGTGCCTGCTGGACAATTTTGGTTGCAGCTGCCGTTTACAAACACGTCCTTGCACACTGTGCAATTCTCAGCGGATGAACCACCGTTACAACCACCCAGGCATGAGGGGTGACAGCAGATTGAGGGATCGTGAGCGGCGCAGGTACGGTCTCCACAAGCTTTATCGCAAACTGGAATTCGAAAATGGTTGGGACAATTAGTGTTATTGTCTTTGTGATTTCACTGGCGGTGGTGTCTTATATTCACCTTTCTGGCAGTGTTGTCTGTTCCAACAGAGTGTCTCGTCTTTATTCGTCTGTCGGGCTGGACAGTGCCTATCGCAAACCGGACAGCCATTTCTTGGTTTATTTCCCTGGAGGAGGATAGACAGATTTTATTAGAAAATTAAGAGAATTCATTATTATTCGTTTGATAAAGTGTTTTTCAATGATACAATGTCAATTTTCTGTTACTGAGTATACTTCTAATTTCCATCCAATTTGCCTTGCATCTCATATATTCGTTTCCATTCAGGAATGTGGATTATACACATATTTCATTTTCTCTAATAGCACGTGAATGCGTATTTCAGTGTGTTGACAAGGAAATAGTAATGCATTTCCTTTAACGATGGCATCAATTATATGGAAGTGCCGGTCAAGACGTGCGTCTGTGACAGTTGTAATTATTCTTTATAATTTTATAATTGACGCAGCATTTAGAAGCAAGAAAAAAATTTGTTTACTTAAACTGATTTTGAAAGACACGGGGAGAATTGTAACGGTGGCATCAACGGCGCGTGCACCAATACACACCGACCTGGCTTCATCACATCTACGAGAATCAGTGATACATGTACAGTGGTATTTATATGTATGTGTATTAGAATGAAGACGAAGGAGACAAACATTTCGAGGTATTGCTAATGACGTATGTAGGAGGTTCTGGGGCAATGTACGCGATATTTCCGGTGTTAAACACCATGATGACGCCTACCCAACGCCGCGTGCGGTATCGAGTGCTTTTTTGGTATAATCTTACGGCCGGCTTAGCGCGTGCAGAATGACGTAAATTGGGTTGAAAAAATTATCGTCCAGATGGAATTTCTGTTAATTCTCGAAATGATGACACAGCGGATATTTATGATGAATTTTCGTTATTACTCGTTTATTTTCACATAGAACACTGTCGGAGAAGTAAAAATTGACGAGTAATCTTCAGCAGAATGACATTATATTCGATTTATGAGGGAAAAAATTATGAAATTTCCAATTTCGCGAAAAATTCATTGAAATTTCAAATTTTTGAACAGCAGAATGACGAGGATTCCTTAACGTCCTTAAATTTGCAATTAACGGAAAGTTCGCAAATATATTTACATGAAATTTACAGATTCGATTGATTTTTTTCATAAAATTTTGAATTTTTAGTACCAAAATTCCTTAAAATTTCAGTGAAACTATAGTGTGACGGAAATTTCCGAGAAGTTTACTGGAAATTTCAACCAAAAATTTTATACAGCGTATTCATAGATTTTGCAATTTGAAAATGGAAGAGAAAAGTGTGGAAAAATTAGTAAAAAAACTCAAGTAATTGTGGAGAGAAACTCCGTTCGACCTCCTTTCTACGATATATATGATACGATATATATATACGATATATATAACGGAAAAAGGTGGAACGAATGGTGAATTTTTTTCATTGGTCCAAACAAATTTTCAAATTATCCTGAAAGTGCGCTCACAAATGTAAACAAGTGCTTCATTTTTAGAAAATACCATCTATCGATGATCGAGTCTTTTCCTTCAATAGAAATTTAATATTTTTTTTTATTTTATGGAGGAAAAATGATAAAACTCATGGCGAGAAATTACTCAATGGAGAGGGATAAAATTTCGCTCCCACAGAAGTTATTTTTTACTTAAAAAAATGTAAGATCATTGCCTCACGCAAACAATTTTCTCTATTAAACTACCCTTCTCAAATTCAATCTAATGTTCTGGCTAATGTTTCCTCAACGTTTCTCTCCGCGAAGGAGAAAAACAACAATAAAAGTACAGTCTTAATTAAGCAAAACCTCGAATATGTCTCCTCCCCCCGTAGTAATTGATTTACTACCATTGCCTTGCATTCCTCATTTTTATGTTTTCGTTTGTTTCATCTTGTTTTCGCAATGAAGCAAAAACCCATTGCCCATGTGCACGAGGAACTCGAGAGAAGCAAACCCGAACAAAACTACACGTGGTTATGGTGAAGGTCGAAAAACAAATTGCGAAAGGAGGTTATTACGTTATCGTCATAATGGTAACATGAAAATAAGGATGTTACATACGTTGAAACAAACAATTATAATACTCATAATATTCCTGTAGTTTTTATTCGGCTTCTTTCGCTCAATCCTCACTACTCAATTAATTGGTTTCCACTTCTCTCTCCCAACATTTCCGCCGGAAGCACCGCTTCGTGAATCCATTCTTACGAAAATACAGAGGGAGAATTTTAATGAATCTCTTTCCCTTCATCCGCGATTTTCTTTTGTAAAACTTTTTCATCGTCATAGTTGAAATTATTCCGCATTCCTTAAATTCTAGTCTGAAGGAACTTTCTTATGCAATTATAGTAATTGGAATGACCATTATTTGTTTACTCCCATCAGAAATTTCTAATTATGTAGATTCTACTTTGATACGAATAATGCTGCTGTTATTCAACACAAGTGCGGCAATAATCATGTGAGAAAGTAATGAGGGAATAGTATTAGGAAGGAAATGAAGAAAATTACTCCAATGTGCGCAATGTCTTTTATCTCCTTGTCTTTGTCCTTGAGAATCATGTTCCAGTCAATAGTGTCAGCGTAACACAGCGCTGGATTCTTCTCAAATCTTACTCCACCACGCAGTATGTCGGTGAGTGAATGTAGGCCAATTTCCTGCAGATGCATCATCTCAAACGCTACGAGGGCATAGTCTATAAACAGGGAGTTACCACGAATTACCGCCAAGTTGGGAAACAGTCGACCAATGCTCTTCAGACCATTTACTCTGGAAACAATAACAGTAAGCGTTGATTAGGCCTGAAATTTGAGTGACAATTCAATCGGTGTATACACAGAGAGAAATAGTTTAGTTTAGTTCTCCGAAAAGAGTCACTTATTTAAAGAAATTCGTGGTTTTAATATGCATTGCTTTTAAAATAAGACAGTACACTCAATTTCTTATTATTACCACTTATTAGTACAACTCAGAACTCATATTATTTCAAGTGAGAAAGGTTATTGAACTAAGAACATTTGCATTCTCAAACTAAAGACATTTGAAAGGGATAAAATTTGATAGACTTTCATTAAGAAGAGAGTTGTGAATGACATTCAGACAGAATCAGAAGTTTCAAAGATATTCCAACAGATAGTCGAATCATTCAAAATTGAGATGGTTTTAATTTAAGAATCCAAATGCTCCGAATTCAAGACCCAAAATTTCATTCAAATGAGGAAACGTACATTCACGTAAAATTTCGAAAAAAATAGAACTCGTTTGTCTGGTTTGATAGAAAAATATTCTCCAATAAGTAGATTTTACACATTTCCATGACTTTTTGCTCACTAGATTTTACAGCTACAGAGTATTACAACTCAATGATCTTTATTGAAAATAACGATGCATTTTCTGTGTATCAACTGGATATTTGAATCACATCTTCAGTCTCAATTAATTACTCCACGGTCTAATGAGTATTTCATCGTTCACCGTTGTTCACAGGAAACCAATCGTCTCAATGACTGAAGACGGGTAATTGAGTCTTGCCGTTGAAAATTATCAAGTATTTCTTCGCCAATTAATTCCGACGGATTTATTTGTTTCATTTCCTGGAAGTCTCACTCCACCATATACCCCACTTTTTACCTCAAACTGGTATTCATTTATTCATCTGTTTTAGCATTATTGATTTTTTTGAAAAATTCTGTATCACTAATTACCTAGAATCTTTGAATGTTAATTCAGCATTAATCTCACCTGTACAACACAAGGTATCCAGTGATCTCAACCAACTCCGGAAATGTTTGATTTATGTAGGCCGTTTCATTAGCGTGGTCTATAAGTAGAATTTGTACAAAACCTTCTACCACACGACATCCCCTTAGTCTTGAAAATTGATCCACGTGATTCCTTATGTCTATGCTTTGGCACACTAGAAAAATTGAGCAAAAAAAACCTGTGATTAGTATACGGTTAGAAAAAAACATGAAATTTTATGGACAATTGACTACTAATTTTTAGGACAATGACACTGAATGCAATTTAGGGGGAAAAATCATGAAATTGCAGAATTTTAACCCTAGTCTGGTCACCAAACGCGACCCGGCAACTTTGGTCAGCTCCGCGGGGATTCCCCGTCGTGTTGTTTAGGCTCTAGCATTGCCGAATTCACTCAGGCGCTCAGGCGCGTTTAGCGAGTTTCCGGCAACGTCGCGCGATGGCCAATTTCATATAACATGGGAAAAAATAATTGATCTGTTCGAAATAATTTGTTTTTTTTTTAGGAATTTCGGGAAATATATTGTTCTAAAAACTACTATAATTCTGTAGACACTTCAATTGACAAAGTCAATTTTTTTATTAATTTTTCCGGTTAGTCAGTAAATTGTAATTAAAAAAAAAACCACGCGCGGTGGCTTTTTCCAAATATGATGACCAATCTAGGGTTAAGTAGCACAAAAATGACAATTCCTTAATTTATTTAAATTTCCAATCTAATATGATATGAATATTCAGTACCAAATTACATTGAATTTTCGGTGAAACCTGAAATTTCATATTTTTTTCTCCCTAAATCGCATTCAGTGTCACTGTCCTGAAAATTCAAAAATATATTTACCGGAATCTCCTGGTTTTCTATTCATTCTCAGGGAAAAATGGAACTGAAATTTACAGTTCTCTTTGATTTTTCCACGAAATTGTGAATTGTCAATGACGAAATTCCTTAAAATTTCAGTGTTAATTAAATTCGATAAAAATCTCCAAAAAGTGTACGAGAAATTCCAGACAAAAATTCTTAACAGTGTATACCTCACAAACATTCTCAATATTGTAATTCAATTAATTATGAATCACATCTCATTGCTTTCCTTCCGCAATCAGGAACTCATGAATCGGAATGTAGAACAAAAACAATGAGTTCTAGTATGAAAATTATCATATCATAACGAAGCCATTTTCCCATTAATTATACCAAAAAACCTCGTTACTCAAAAATACATTCCCTGCCTTCATCAACACGTTACGCTATCAGTTCGTTCCACATTCAAAACGACACAATGTCAATTGACAAGTCGATGAGTTGACATCGAAAAACACGCTGCTGGCGCCACATTAGTAACCATTGCACGATAACACTTACCATTCCTTCTCAAAGTCTAGAAAAAAAAGCAACAAAGAGAACTGAGAGCATTCACTCAACTTCAAAGTCTACTTCTTCCGTTATACTTCAAACTTATCGCGATAGGATTGGAGCTGCAAAAACATCGATAGTGTGGGTTGAGAGTTATCACACCCAATACTCTAAATGGATTTTCCCGTATTGCCTAGGCCAAGAGAAAAATCGTAGGAAAATCGTAAACATACCGCTATGAAGCGGAGAATGTCAAGGGAAGAAAAAATATGAAATTAAAATAATAGGAATAGTAGAACGGCATTCACATCACCCAGTATTGTTGTTAATAATACCCACGTTTAGACACCTATCATGAGTCATTGAAATCGAAAATAAACTTCCAAGAAACCCAGTGGATTTTAAAATGGCCACAAGGTGGCAGTTATGTCCCGGTTGAACGTAGCGCGGCGGGAGAGGTTTTCATTCATAAGAAAATATACTCCCTCATGAATGCTGCACATATGTGCATACTGCGTACTACACGTGCATGTGTACGTGCGAAAAATTGTTCACAACTCGCGAGAGACAGAGAGATAAATGCGAGAACAAATGAGAATAAATGGTAGTTGATGAGTGTTGGTGAGATACAGAGGAAAACGGTGAATTTGTTCCTTCTAAATGTTTGTAATCCGATAAGGGATATCGGATGCCTTACAATGCCCCTACGTAGTCGCAGATAATCTTTCAGTACATTCGATAGGTGGCCAATACAATCGGAGTAAAAGGATTCGCTGTTTTGCGTTTGCATTTCCTTACTCTGCATTAATCAGTTTGAAAATAACTCGATTGTGTTCCAGTATCATTAAAATTGTACTCTCAATGGGATAGAAAGGGTGAAAATACTTTCAGCTCTAGTCATCCACTGTAAACGCACATTTGACCAGCGCATTCCTGACACTTTCCTCAAGGTTATTGGTGTCGTTCACCCAAAGGTCGCTGTGTAACGCGCGGATGTGACCCGTTTGAGGATAAGCAACATTCTTGCAACTCACCACGAGGCCGTTGTACATACAAGCCAACTAGTCTCTAACTTGCCTCGACAAAGATCGAGTGAAAACAAAAAAAATAAGGAGAGAGTTATGGTGAGTGTGTGGAGGACGAGGGAGTAAAGTGTATGAAGATACTGCTGACTCGTCGGCTATGCAACATTGTATTTATAAAATTGTTAGTTAATTTGCAGTTGTGAGTAATCATTGGAATCTGTGATTTGTTATTGCCTGCCTCAAGTGGTGATTACATCGCTGCCTCATGATTTATTCTACATTCGCACTTTGCTGTTATTCATACGCTTCCCAGAAACTATCATTCTCTGGTTTTATACAACTATCATTATTTTTTCCTTCTTCTTTCGTTGTATGATTTTAGAGTAGTATGAAAATTGAGGGCGTTTGATGAAGGCCGAGGGTCGTAGAAACGGGAGGCACTTCCGGATGATGAAGGATGTGGTTTCATAGCGTTATGAAATAAAAGGAGAATAGAACCGGGCACAACTCGTTTGGCAGTGGAGTTGAATCGTAAACTCAGGCGAGACCTTCTCTGTAGTTATACTTCTTGTTGTTTATGAATAATGTATTTTTGTGAATTGTCTGTCACATGCTTGCGGATAATTTCACATCGGTAAGAATGATTTGGACGGTTCGCATTGAGGGTGATAATAGTATTTTTCCGGCCTGTTGCGATGGGGTTTTTTATTCGTGTGGCGTTGGCCTCCGAGCCGTAGGCGAGGACTGGCCAACCAGACGAGTAAAAAAACCCCATCGCAACAGCCCAGGAACAATATTTTTCTGTAGTGATTTTCAAGTTTTCGAGTTTGGGAAATATGTAATACCAATTTCCAGACGAGAAATCGTGAGAAGTAGTACAGAAAAATTCAATGGCCGTACTCGTTCGATATTCCTCACAGCTGAACAATTTATTCCAGATCAATAGGGAATTTTTGATGAATTCTGTTTTTAAAAGATATTCTTCAATTCAATGGAAAAGATACAATGATTCGTCTGAAATTAACTGTAACAACGCTCAATATCAATCTCAGAAGAACTCAACAATCAGAAAACGAAAAATAACTCAGAACGGACTCTATCAATTTGTTTTTTTTTTTTCACAAGATTAAATTGCGAGAGGAAAGAGTGCACTCAGAATGATGCTCCTCATGCGATAACACCGTGGTTTTCGTTCACCGTATGTCGATATTCGTTTGGCGTATCTCGAATTGGTTGAGAGGTACTCTCCCTTCATATCCCCCATACACGGCCGCATAAAGGGATGGAAATAAAGAGTTCGCAGTTTGTTTTCCTCCTTTTGCCCCCCCCCATCCCCCTTGAGCCCCCTATTTTTTCTCCTCTCAATGATGAATCCCTTCTTCTCCATTTCTCGGGTACATCCTGATGGGCCAGGTGTTGTTCTCAGCAAATGTTGAAGGGCATAACCGGAAGTTGACTGTCTAGACGATTTTTTTTTTCCACCGCCATTTTATCACGACCCCACAATCCACAGGGTCAACATACGCTAACCTCTTGTACTGGCCTACAGTGCGGAGTACAAATATTTATTCTTATCTTGTCGTAACAAACCGCCCACAGATTGACCGTTTCAATACAATTTATTTCAGCCAACGCAGCGAATATGTTTTTTAATATTATTATTTTTCACTCGTGTCGATGCATGAATAAGGTAGAAAAGTGCTCGTGCATGCATATTTAAAATTACTAAAGACAATGTAAAACAAATACGGAATGTTCATTTAACATTTATGTCCTGCTACTGTCTCGTGGCATTTTCATCTTAATGCATCTGGATGTCTTTACTGAGGTTTTAATGCTAATGGAACATTAGAAAATGTTGAGTACTAGAAGATTATAATAAATTCTCCATTTTCTGTTCTACAATAATTATGCGAAACATTGTATAGACATTCGGTACATAATGAAGCTCGTTTTGAATGGATTAATAATGCTTGAATAAATTACTCTAATGAGGCTCAGAGAAACACGAAGGATTGAAGAACATTAACAACTTCATAATGAAAGAAAAAACAACCTAAACTTCGGTTTGCATGAGATTTCGAGCCTGATTTTCGAGTGCATAAATTCCGTGATTTATTCAACAGACGTGCTTCCAATTCTCGTAAAGTTTCATAGGTATGCCTCGTGACAATTCATTTTACAACTCTCGGAAGAGTATTCCAACAAACCGAGGATTCGAATAGACACACAAATTCCTTGGTTAGTGCCCTGTGTAAATACCGGCGTTGGCTTTTCACAGGAGGCGGTATGAGGGGACTCTAAACCGAATTTGAGTAGTCATAGGATAAAATGGTGATCGAGCAACTCATGCCAGTTTCAAATAGCCGCGATGAGTAACAAATCATAACCCCGCACCCGGAGAAATGACGCATTTCAATGAAATGAAACACTTTATCAGAAATTTCTCTATTCACTTCAACAATTTTTCTGGTGGAACTAAATAAACGTATATTCAGGCGAATGACAATATTCTCATTATATGAAATAAGTAATAAGGTTGAGGTCCTTAAAAACCGATTATTTGTTTCGAATAAAATGTAGTGGACGTGCATGATGCTAATGACGCATCGTAAATTCTCGAAATAGAACAACTGGTGGCGCTGTTGTTGTGGGGGTTTTTGGATCAATTGTCAATTGATCAGGCGTCTGTGATCCCGTGACCGTCGAAACGTAGGACGTTACAAATCGTGGGACACAGTGCCCGTTAATTATTGCCGTTTTACAAACGGAACG